CCCCCACCCCTTCACCACCCCCACCCCTTCACCACCCCCACCCCCATCCCTTCTCCAACCATTTGTAACTCATTTGTTGGGAAGACCAAAACTCAGAAAACCTCTCCTCCACATCTGCCCTTAAAAAACCCTTCTCATAAGCTTAAAGACGTTAAGCTCAAACTTGAAGCCTTCTGCTGCCAGCTTTGGATCTCTGGCTCAATCTAGGTGCACAACCATGGTCTCCTGTAGATTCAGAGTTGACCTTTTGATCTCAGTTTCTGTCCTCAACAAATGCTGCACGGTTTCACCTCTGTAGCATTAGTAGTTTCAGTCTCAGCCCATCTTCTGAGTGCCTTTGTCTCCGATAGAATATTTTGGAATTCCTGGCTAATTTGCTGTCATTCTCTACTCTTTAAGAGTGGCCACTTGTAAAAATATAACTGATCAGAATGAAAACTGAACCATGAATCTTGGAAATATTCAGCAGGCTCATTAGCATCTGTGAATAGAAAAGAGGTTATTGTTCGGAAGAAGAGTCATACTGCACTGAAGCATTAACTCTGTTTCTGTCTCCGCAGTGATGCCAGACCTGCTGAACTTTCTCTATTTTTTCTATTATAACTAGTCCTTTTCAATCCCACTTCCTTTGTTGCACACACTTACAAAAATCTCTCCCAGCTGCCAGATCCCAACAATTCACGCATCTGCAATCACTGAGTCGTTCTCAACTTCATGTTTCATAACTTTGTCCACCAGAAGACCCATCAATGTGTCTGATCTTAATTGTTCCCTCTGGTTTTACTTGAGTTTTTACCACCTTTCTGTAGTCCAAAGCATGTTTATTGGCATAGCTGTTTCTTGTTCTAATCTGATTATACAACATCAATCATTGTCAGAATGGGCTCTCCTTACTCCAGGATCATCCTGGAAAGTGAAGATAAATCTCCAGTCCATCTCTCTCCAGTGTTGTCTCCCTGAACCTCTCTGCCTGCACCTTCATCTCTAACAACAGGTGAGGAAACTGCAAGCTTATTGTTGCTGAATTTGAGAGTGTCTGTTCAGTGATCAGGCTTCCTTCCTCTTGCCATGTTCCCGCTAAATTGCCCAGGGGCTCTGCAGCAATTAGGAATGTGGTGCGTACAACCAACATTCCCCGTAAGTTGGATGTGTCGCAATCTTAAAGGGACAAAACCACACAACAGAGAAAAATTATGGGGGCATTACCACTGCCAATCCCTGAACCCACATATTTCCCAATTTATCATTTGTCTCCTCTCATGGCATTTCTTTGCTCGTCTTACCTGTCTGACAAATTTTCTGCTCTGGTTCACTCTATTCTTCAGGAAGGGATTGTAGCATTCAAATAGGAAAATCCAATGCTGTTGTAATAGTAAGTAACTCTTTTGATGGATTCTTTCATTTGCAGGTTTCCGATAAGCGAGTGTCCAGGAATCATGGTCTCCTCGAAGTGGTTGATGAGAAGTTACGCATCAAACCAGTGAGTAGATTTCTACCTGAACAGTGTAACTTCTGCAAATACAGATAGTAGTTTATACCTGTAGTCAGGTTTTTTATCTAATCTCTAAAGGATTAGAGTTAGGCTTAGTTAGTCCTTTAAATGGCATTCTGTTTTGGATTACTGGGTGTAGCAGGTTACAATCTTCATCATAGAATCCCTATAGGGTGGAAACAGGCCATTCGGCCCAACAAGTCCATACTGCCCCTCCAAAGAGCATCCCACCCAGACCCATTCCCCTACTGCTGCATTTCCCATGTTTAACCCACCTAACCTAAACATCACTGGGCACTATGGGCAATTTAGCACAGCCAGTCCACCTAGTCTGCACATCTTTGGACTGTGGGAGGAAACCGGAACACCCGGAGGAAACACTCTCAGACACGGGGAGAATGTGCAAACTCCATTCAGACAGTCACCCAAGGGTGGAATTGAGCCCAGGTCCCTGGCATTGTGAGGCAGTAGTGCTAACCACTGAGCCGCCATGCCATCCGGTTTCTGAGATGGCTTGGAATTACAGGACATGCATTGTCATTTGATATGCTTCATTTTATGACTTAGCTTCTATGGAAGCTACTTTGGATTTTATTAGATCCACGTTCACGTGGGAACATTTATGGGGCTATTCCTATTCTGTGATATTGAGATACATAGTGTGTCAGTCCTTATTGGTCTAATAAAAACAAAGGCACAATTCATATTTGAGTGTTTTACAAATTCTGACTCCACCGATTTCAAGTGCATCTCTTGGTACCTGTGGATTCACCTTCACTGTCACTGGGTCAAAATACTAGAAATACCTTGCTGACAGTACTCTGGGTGTAGCGATCCCAAAATGTACTGCAGCAGTTCAAGAAGGCACCTTCTCAAGGATAATTAAGAATGGACAATGAGTGTTGGTCTAGCCGGGATGCCCACATCACACAAATGAATAATGGAAAGAAATATCTATAATGATGAGCAAAGGTTAATTTGGGTCTATTAATTTCTGAATGCATACAATGGCTCGAGCATACTGGAAGGTGAAAAGTGGGTTTTCTGTAATACATTTAGCGACACAGAATGCTGGGATCCCAGTCTTTGAGATGAGAAAGTCATTCTAACTTCTCAGCTTTTGAATAGAGATTTAATGCTGTGATAGATTCTATGGATAATTATTCAGTCCTTTGTTTATTATGTATGAAAGTGACGTGTTGAAAGTTTGTCACATTTATTGAAGCTTTTGCTCATCACTATGATGATAATTTATTATCTAAATGAGACAGCAAAGAATTTAGTCCCAAAACACAAAACTGATTTTTGCAGAAAATGTAGCTCTTTTTATATGTTTGTGTGTGTGTCTTTCTCTGCCAAATGTTTAAAAATTGTAACTTGTTTATCTTCAGCAGAATGGCAATTATACTGACCAAATATTATCTTGGGCAAAGTTGATAGTATGTCTGAGGGCCATTAACTAGAAGAGGGTTAAAAAACGTTTACAGCAAAAAGACCTCGGAGTGCAGGTTCATAGTTCCTTGAAAGTGGAGTTGCAGCTAGATAGGATAGTGAAGAAGGCATTTGGTATGGTTGCCTTTATTATCAGTGCATTGAGTAAAGGAGTTGGGAAATCATGTTGCAGTTGTACAGGGTGTTGGTTAGGCCACTTTTGGAATACTGTGCAGTTCTGGTCACCCTGTTGTGAGGAGGATGTTGTGAAACTTGAAAGGGTTCAGAAAAGATTTACAAGGATGTTGCCAGGGTTGGACGTTTTAAGTTATAAGGAGAGGCCAAACAGGCTGGGGCTATTTTCCCCGGAGCGTCGAAGGCTGAGGGGTGACCTTGTAGAGGTTTATAAAACCATGAGGAGCATAGATAGGGTAAATAGCCAAGGTCTTTTCCCTGGGGTCGGGGAGTCAAAAACTAGAGGGTGTTGGGTTAAGGTGAGAGGGGAAAGATTTAAAAGGGATCTAAGAGGCAACTTTTTTTCATGCAGAGAGTGGTGCATGTATGGATTGAGCTGCCAGAGGAAGTGGTGGAGGCTGGTACAATTACAAAATGTAAAAGGCATCTGGATGGGTATATGAATAGGAAGGGTTTCGAGGGATATGGGCCAAATGCTGGCAAATGGGACTAGATTCATCTAGGATATCTGGTTGGCATGGACGAGTTGGACCAAAGGGTTTGTTTCCATGCTGTACATCTGTGTGACTCTATTAGCTGCATTGTTCCCAACACGAGGTGAAGAAAATTTTGACTTATAATCATTAAAAATGTGCTTTAAAGATGTGTCATTTTAGACTTTGGTATCCATTGTGCAGAATGCACTGAACCCTGTTAAATTTAAACACACAAATAAAATTCTTCCTGTATTTAATGAAGTCACTGATTTGTTTTTTCCACAAATATTGTAATCGTTATGTGTGAATCTGATTATTTAAAATATGTGTATTACTTGGGAAAGAGAAATAGAATTCTCAGCTAGAATGTAAAATCAAGTTCTGCAAGGTGTTTTGCACCAGATTGTTGGTAGAGGGCAGCTAGCTCCTATTAATTTTAAGAAAGATACACTACTTTTGAATCTGGCCATATTTTTAACTAGTTTCAAATAACATCTAAACCACATTTGAGTAGAACTTTACATTTGCTATAGCAACAGCTTGTATTTAATGCCTACTACAACAAAACTTGCATGTATATTGTCTTTAATATAGTGAAATATTCTAAGACACTTCATGTGATCTGTTATCAGACAAGACGTAACACTGAGCAACATGAGATTTGGAACAGGTTGAGAAGACGTAAATGTTAAACAAGGACAGGGTTGGGATAGGGAGTGAACTTACGGTTGCTTGCAGTAGTTTCTCTGTTTATTTTGTTCATGTGGGCGTCTAATTGTCCTTGAACAGACGGTGCTGAGTTGCTGCCTTGCACTGCTGCAGTAGCGATGTGCTATTAGGGAGGCCAGGCTTTTGACTGAGTTGAAGGCCACGATTGCGAACAGTGCAGGGCAAAGGAGAGCACTTGACTGGTGGAGGTTCTTCGTGGGAAAGACAAGAACTAGGAAGGCACACTTTAAAAGTAAAGGGATCTCTCATTGAAGATGGAGATTAGACTTTTTTCTAAGAGTTGAAAGTCTGCAGAACTGTCTTCCCCAAAGTGTGATGGAGGCAGAGATAGATTCTTGACTAACCAGGCATTCAAAGGGTATTGGGGTAGGCAGGAAAGTGGAGTAGAGGCCACAATCCAATCATCCGTGATCTTATTGGAAGGTAGACCAGGCTTGAGGCGCTGAATGGCCTATTCCTTCAATTTGTATGTTCACGTAGAAACTGAGCAAGAGATTGCAGTTGGAGGTATGAAAGGATCTCTGTCCCATGGGGCTGGAGGAGATTATATGGATAGGGATAGGGAAAAGGAATGTCATGGAAGCATTTGAATATGAGATATCAATTTTAATGTTAAGCTGTTGCTGGATCAGGAGCTAATTTAAGCTAAGAAGGAAGAGGGCTGTCAGTAAGTAACCTGTAGTACTTATTATGAGGTACAGAAAGTAGAGGTTTGGATCAACCGAAGTTTAAGGGATGGATAATTAGATACTGACTGCGGAACATTCGAATGGTGGATCTGATGATAGGTTGCCCCCACTTTAAATGTTAATTCAGTTTCTATCTCCACAGATGCTACCTGACGTGAGCATTCCCAGCATTATTAAAATGTTATATTAGAAAAACAGAATTTTGAAAGAACAGAAGTATGCGTATGAGTTTCTGCAGCAGAATCTACAGATAAAATTTATAAATATATTGAGGCAAATTAACACTTTTCCTTCAGAAAATAACATTAGATTTTACAGTGTTAGCCCAGTTCAACTGTTGTTTTATATCACTGTTATCTTTTTCATGTTTAAGATTAACTGGAGAAACAAAACAAGAGTTTTCTGCAGTGGGATTTATTTAAGCCATAAATATAAATGACAGGACAGTTCTTCATGCTCTTCTTAACCTTGGGATTTAATCTGTTTTAATGCAGTATTGTGTTAATATAAATTCTTTTAGACCTGTGGAAGTGTGTTTTATGTTACAGTGTTCCTGTGTAAATGCAGGTTGGGATTTTTGGAAGGATAGCGAGTAACTAATAATAATTAATTATTTAGGCCACTTTGAAAATAATAAAATGTGAATCTGATTTTATTAATATTGTAAGGTTCTGCTGAAAATTGACAAATGAAGGCAAGGTAATGATTAAGCAGGTGTATTTAGACTGTATTTTTTTATAGTACATTTATACATTTTGTTAAGTGAGGAAATTAAACTCTTAAACATGCCCTCTAACTGTTGGTAACTCATGAAACTTGTGTCCATCATCCACTTCTTTTCACTTCAGTTTATATCTTAATGGCAAATGGGTAGCATTGTCCAATTGATGACCATTTAGTCCTTCTGCATGAAGATGACTGGCCTCTCTCAAGTGTCAGTCTGTTTAAATTTGTTTCAAAGTAAATACTGGCAACTGTAGCACATGAGCATGATTGTTTTTATATTGAGAAGCTCTGCATTATTAACTGCAGGACTCTTGTAGATCTACAACATGTTCCATTAGTGCAAGATGGTATTTGTTTCCATACCACTTGACATATTGTAAATATTTGAAACTCCAGAAAAAAATTTCCCAAACACGGTTTAAAATAAGTCACAAAGCCAGTGTTGTGAAAAATAGAACTTGATTTATCAGTGACTGGAAACTAATCAGCTACGTGAAAGAAAGATGGCATTGTGAAATCTGATCCCAAAATTTTGGTCATTCTTAATTCTTTCATGGGTGTGAATGTTGCTGGCAAAGACAGCATTTGTTACCTACCTGTCACTGCCTTGAACCATGTAGGCTGCTAGGTTATTTCAGAGGGCACTTAAGAGTCAACCACATTGCTTTGGATCTGGAGTCGCATGTTGGCAAAGCTGGATAAAGATGGCAGATTTCCTTCCCAAAACAGCATTAGTGAATCAGATCATTTTTTAAAATAACTTTTATAAAAGTTTGATTCTTCTGATTTTTATTTTAGCGATATTAACACAATGTCTGAAGAATGATGGTAGACCTTTGATTCTGTAGCTGATTGGCTAGAACTAAGTGTTGATTTGAAATTCTTTCCTTTCAAAGTTTTCAGGTTTTGTCTTTTTCACTTAGGCAGATGGTTAAAGATGCTCCTCGTTTTCAGGATATGATTTAGTGCTGAGTTCTGTAATAAACTGCGGTTTGACCGATCCAAGGGCTGACATTAGGTAAAAGAACCAGTTGTCGTTATCATTTCCTTTAAGTCAGAGTCCTGGTGCTATTCTCTCCCATCAATAATCCATCTCACTGCTCCAAGAAGTAGCATAATCCTGTGCAGCTGAAGTGTATACCACACAATCCCATTTGATCTTCAAGTTACAAAAACCCTCCTGCTACCTTTAGGAGTCCAACTTCAGTTTCCAGGTATAGTCAATGTAAAGGCCAATTTCTTTTAGACCATGGACTCCAAATGGGAAAAGATATTGTTTTAAGCCATGGAGATTGTGCAAAGATGTTTGCAGCTTTAAAAGTAAAACTTACAGGAGCGTTATGAATTGTATATTAAGAGGTGACTGCCTGACAACGTGTTGATTGGTTCCTGGGCAGATGATGAAAATCTTTGTATGTGAACAGCACAGCAGAAAAGCATTCAGCTGCAAAGAGACAACACAGGAAGTAACCAAAAAGATTGAAGAGGGCGGAGCGATAGACATTGTTTCTTTGGACTTTAGTAAAGCCTTTGACAAGGTTCCACATGGTAGACTAATTGGTGAAGTTAGATCACAAGGAATTCAGGGTGAGCTTGCCAATTGGATACATAATTGGTTAAACGGCAGGAGATAGTGATGGTGGTGGGGTTGTTTTTTGGACTTGAGGCCTGTTACCAGCAGTGTTCCACAGGGATTGTGTTTTGTTTGTCATTGTCATTGATGTAAATGATTTAGATGAGAATATAGAAGACATAGTAAGTTTGTGGATGACATCAAAATTGGTGGTAAAGTGGACAGTGAAGAAGATTATCTAGGATTACAAAGAGATCTTGATCGATTAGGTCAGTGGGCTAAGGAGTAGCAGACAGAGTTTAATTTGGATAAATGTGAGGTATTGCATTTTGGTAAAACAAACAAGGGCAGGACTTTGAGTTGTATAAGTAGGGCTTTGGGTAGTTTTGTAAGACAGAGACCAAGGGGTTCGGATACATAATTCTTTGAAGTTTGCGTCACGTGTAGACAGGGTGGCTAAGGAGGCGTTTGCCTTCATTGCTCAATCCTTTGAGTATAGGAGTTGGGAAGTCCTGATGAGATTGTCCAAGACGTTGGTGAGGCCTCTTCTGGAATACCACATGCAGTTCTGGTCGATCTGTTGTAGGAAGGATATTATCAAACTGGAGAGAGTTCAGAAAAGATTAACCAGGATGTTGCTGGGAATGGAAGATTTGAATTATAGGGAGAGTTTGGGACTTTCTTTACTGGAGTGTAGGAGATTGAGTGGTGACCTTACAGAGGTTCTTAAAATCGTGAAAAGTATAGATATAGTGAATGGCATGTGTCTTTTCCCTATGATGGGGAATTTCAAGACCGGGGGCATATTTTTAAGGTGAGAGGAGAAAGGTTTAAAAAGGACGTGAGGGGCAAGTTTTTACAAAGGGAGTGGTTCATGAGTGGAATGAACTTCCAGAGGAAGTGGTGGATGCAGGTACAATTACAATGTTTAGACATTTGGATAAACACATGAATTAAAAAAAGGTTTGGAGGGATATGGGCCAAGTGCAGCCAGGTGGGACTAGTTTAGTTTGGGATTATGGTCGGTACGAGCTGATTGGCCCTAAGGGTCTGTTGTGCTGTATGACTCCATGACCCAAATCTCTTTCTCCTCCTCCTATACGAACATGTAATAGGATATCTCCTAGTAGCTGTTCTGGCTCACCATTTCCTCTGTCACCTCTTCTCTCTGCAATGGCTGTTGTGAAGACAGATGGTCCAGCTTTCATGATAAAATGGTTGGAATGCCAGAACAGGTTTCTCAAAATGAAACCTCAGAAACCAATGTGAAACCAGAAATAATAACACAAAATGCAAGAAGTACTCAGCAAGTCAGGCAACATCTGTGGTTGACGAAACAGTAATTCAGATTGGTGAATTTTTACCAATTGTGATGCAAGTTTGACATTTAACTGTTAATAATGACCACTCAGTAATATTGGAGATGGGTGTGAGATGGGCAGGCTAGGAAGTGGAGTTCAAACTACAATCAGATCATTCGTGATCTTATCAAATGGTGGTCCAGGCAGGCTCTAAGGCTGAATGGCCAACTCCAGCTTGTACATCTTGTCTTATAAATCAATTGCAGCTAACAGAAGCATGCTTCTGTTATTTCAGCAGCAGGTGAACTGTGACAGGGTGAATCAACTATTTTGTGGGCCTCCTGAGAAGCCTTTATGGACCCCAGAGAGTGAAACAGAACATTATTTGACCACCTATTATTGTTAGGGTGTCAGTGCGCGTCAGGTGTTGCTCATCTCTCTTTTTTTTATTCCAGTTACATACCAATCCATGCTTCTATCGGTCATCAAGTGGACACCAGCTTCTGCCCCTGGCTAAGGATAAATGGCACTGGCTAAACCCAGGAGACTCTTTCTCTTTACTGCCAGACAAATATATATTCAAAGTCATCTCCCCCAGCTTCGACCAGACCTTAAGGTGACATAATCTTTAAATCAATAGCAAATGAACATTAATCATATCTACGTTTTTGGATACATTCAACATTAATGGCGTGATGTTTTCACAGGAAGCTAACAAGATAACATTATTTAATCTTTGACTTCACATTCTGACATTGAGAGTATGGTAGAAGCCTACTATATATCAGATGTTGGGGCCCTAAAAGTGAAATGCTGAGCTGGGCCATGTTAATAAGGAGATGCTTACTTTTTCCTATTTGTAACAGTAATGAGGATTTAGATAAAGATTTGCAGGTCTTTGGGAGCTGTGACACTCCCATGCAATAAGCAAATTCAAGGCATATTGAACCCTATTATAACAGGCTACCATGGTTATTTTTGGTGAACATGCTAACCTATGACTTTGTACAGTTAGATCAATAAATCATCTAACTCATGTTGAATAGTCTGTTTCTTAAGCAACTTTTGTGTGAAAACTGATTGCTGTTTTCACAGTTACCATAAATTGATAGATGAATATGTTTTAAACTTGCTCTGTACATGAAAATGCTTAGAATCATATGAAATAGGAGCTGAAGCAGGCTATTCGGCTCTTCAAGCGTGCTTCACTATTCGATAAGATCGTGCCAGATGTTTGTCCTTCAAATTCCACATTGCCATCTACTCCTGATTAACCCTTATTTCCCTTATGTAACATGAAATTATCCACCTCTGTTTCAAACATAGTCAATGACACTGCCTGCACCACCACCTGAGGCAGACAGTTCCAAAATTCCACACCTTTTGAGAGAGAGAGAAAAACCCACTAATTTTAAGACCGTGCTTGCTAGTTCTGGACCCCCGCACAAGAGGAAACATCGTTTCTGTGCGAACTCTTGTTGAGGCCATGCAGGATTATATTCACTACAATCAAGTCACCCCTTTATGAAGTAGACTTCATAATCAGGTGCTGTACCTGCACACTAACCTGTCATGACTGATGCACTGGAACACCTAAATTCCTCTGCATTTCGGAATTCTGGAAGATATGCAATGGAGAAAATTTAGTATATCATTGTCCTTGATAATTGTTTTTGTGCTTCAGTATTTGAGAAGTTCTGTCCTATGTAGAACATAAGTATGCAGTAAGGTTATTGTTTTTTCTTCTGTAAAAGTAAACTTAAATATGATTCTTTACAGTTTCTTTCTGGCTCAGACATTTTCCTTTCCCTTAAACCTCTTTCTGTCCTTCAGTTTTGTCTTTATCCTGGATCTATTGGCCCTAAGAGTTAGTGAAATATATATATTCTGGTGGCAATTGTAATCAGTTATATACTACGTAACGATATATTACCAATACGGGTTCGCACCTGTATGAGAACATTTAAAATACACTTTGAGATAATAAATAGATATTTATAAACTTATAAACTTGAATTAGTTACACCTGTATAAATATTCTGTTCAAATAGGCTTCATTAATCCTGAAGAAGGGTAATACCCGAAACGTTGACTGCTCCTTTCCCCCAGGTGCTGCCTGGCCTGCTGTCTTCCAGCTTCCTGTTTGTCTTCCTCTTCATTAATCCATAGTCTTTTGAGAGCAGCTAGTATTAAATTGAACCAAGCTATGAGAAGGAATTTACATTCACATGTTACACTTAAACCTAAAATGGTTGATATATTGACAAGCAAATTCAAATAAGACTTTTGATTCATGTCTAGAAGATTTTTCTTTCGTCAATGAAAATGTATTTGTGCCACGTTTTAATGCATTGCAGAAACAGCGATCTGTCAAGTTTTAAGGATGATGAGCAATCTAATCCTGCCGGAAGCTCGCGTAAGGAGAAAGGGGATGTCACCGAAGGCCCAGATATACCTCAGGGTTTCTCTCAAAAACCCACTACATCATCTGAAACGTTGACAACAGATGATTATTCCCGACAGCAATCCTGCACAATTGAACCAAATGGCATCTTGCAGAATGTGGTAAGGGTCATGTAATTAGCAGACTTTATGTTTAAACTTTTAAACCAATGAATAATCTTCTAACCCCAGTTTTACACTGCACCTGCTGAGGAAGGGCCGGTTCAACCCCCTGGAATCTTCTAGGATTCAGACTGAGGCTTTTAGAACCAAGACTACTGTGAACCTTTGACTTGGTCTGTAGGATTATTCAGTGTAAGCAAGTTAATATTGAAGTGTGCAAAGATGTTAAAAAAGGGTATCTCATTCTGGCCAGTCACAATTTGCCATGGCTCCCAGACCGGGGAGGTGAATGATTGAGTTCCTGGTTCTGAATGCTGATTGCTGTCTATTGATTTTGTTTTATTTTCTCTGCTGGAAGTATATATGTGTGTGGGTTTGGCTAAAAAGAAGACTCTGTTTGGATTATTGATGTCGGGCCTGCACTAAAAGAACAGCCACTTGGGGGTGAAATCATAGAATCCCTACAGTGTGGAAACAGGCCCTTCAGCTCAACATGTCCATACTGACCCTCGGAGCATCCAGATCCATCCCTCTATAACCTAATTTACACATCTCTGAACGCTACGGGGTCATTTAGCATGGCCAATCCACCTAGCCTGCACATCCTTGGACTGTGGGAGGAAACTGGAGCACTCTGAGGAAACCCATGCAGACACGGGGAGAATGTGCACATTCCACACAGACAGTCGCCCGAGGGTGGAATCGAACCCGGGTCCCCGGTGCTGTGGGGCAGCAGTGCTAACCTCTGAGCCACTGTGCCGCCCCATCCATTTAATTTAAAGTTGTAACCAAATGGTCCTGTTTGTTCTTAATTGACTTATTTAATTTAACTTGCTTGTAACTTGAGTACTGTAGACCTTTGTTTAAAGAAGCTGTCACTTTACTTCAGCCCAAACACACATTTTTACTCAGGTATTATGCACGTGATTAGTATAAGATTTTTGTTAACCATAAAATAACTTAATAATATATGTATTTCCCATAGTTTCTTGGTTAGTTTAGGAATGATGTATTAAAGAACGCAAACACTGTGCCTCTTTCTCTGATGGAAACCTTAACAATTTTTATGATTTTTTTGTAAAATAGGAATTCTCGCAATGCAACTGTCACTTATTGAATGAATTTGAATTCACTGATATTATCTTTTAAGAGTTGTATAAAGAGAGCATTGCCAGTTCATTTTAATTATTATATCTAATTCTAGTTTTTAACTATGGCCAGCTGCTTAACCAAATTCGCAGATAATTGCTGCAAGAGCAACAATTTTCAATTATATGGAACCTTTTTTATATGGAACCTTTTAGTGTTGTAAACTGACCCAGCAACTTTCAGAGGCACAGCAGACAAAGATGTACAGAGTCAAAGAAGGAGACCATCAGAAGGTTACCAAAGCTTGATCAGAGTGTGTTTTAAGAGTAGTTGTTAAGAGGAGAAGAGCATTGTGGGTTTTAGAATGTAGCTGAAGGCACAAGAGTTTTGGACTCTTATTAAGTTGATCTTGTTGCCTTAAAATCAGTGTGTGTATGCATCCATTTATAACAATGGCAGCTAGGGATGGGTAATAAATGCTGGCCACCCAGCGATGCCTACATCGCATTGATGAAGACAAAGAAGTAGGATAAGGTCCTCACTTGGACATCACACTGATTTTTGAGTGCTATTACACAGTGACTTATTTTAACTTGTAAACTTTATTTCTTTTTGGTCATTACACATTATGCAAATTATCAATAAATTATAGTGAAACTTCAGCCAGTTACTTAAAGGAAACACAGATACTTACACTCAACTAAGGTGTCCTTTTTAATACCTTCACTTCCAGTTATCCACTGTCCCTGGTTTGATTGTCTTGGCTCATTGTCATTCCCAATTTGCATCAGTTCTCTGATTCCAGATTACTACAGACACTGCAATGGATATGAAAAACATCATATAAATACCAGTCTTTTTCTTCCTATCAAGAGTCTGGAGGATTTGTGCCATTTATGCTGGTGGCTTTAATGGCTATTCTTTCATTCAGCTCGCCCTACTTTGGAATGGCAGATGCACTCTACACATGCAGATTGAATCATTGCTTAAAACCTTCTGAATCCTTCACTTACTTCCAGATTTCTTAAGATGAATATTTTCAATTATGCAAAAACTACTGTAGATTGAGAAATTTTGTGGATCATATACGTGATCCGCAAAAGTATTGTTTGCTCCAATTCAGTATGGACGAGCTTGAAGTGTGATTTCCTGAACTATCAATTTAAGGTTCTTGGAATCGAAAGAAACAACTGAAAACTTTCTAAATACATTATGAAGATGTAGTCTTTTACTGCCTTTTCTACTAGGCTTTACAAGTTGATAACTTAGTCAAGTTTTTAAAACTTTTTTAGCAACTGCTAAGTAAACTAGAGAAATTCTTTCTAACAAACATTAGAAATGATTGCTTCTGGGCTATCACAGTGTATCAGTAAAGTCATTTCGTAAGCTGCTGAACCAAATAGGTTAGCAACTCACCTTGGACCTTCAGTTTGCAACAGTGCTTTCAGTTCAGCTGATAAGTCAGGAAAAATCAATTGGTCACAGTTTTAGGTCCTGATCACAATGAAATGACTGTCACTATCCAGAGACGATGTGATTGGATTCTGTTGTAATGTTTCTGTACTCTAAATCCATTTGAGGCAAAATGTTAAAATAGGTTGTGAGATAGTCTGACCCATCCTTGTTAACCAAACCAATATTGTGTTCTTTAAGTCAAAGAGTGAGCAACTGAAGAGTGGTCAAGCACCATTGGACACTGTACAAAGAAAAAGAATCTTGCCAGCTTGGATGCTGCAAGTTACTACAGAAATACAAAATCCTTCGACAGTCAGTAAAAAAGGTATGACTGCAGACTACTTGCTTGTTGCAATAACAGTAGATAATCTTGATTGAGTTCTTGTTTGATGCAATGCTACTTTTATGTCCAGAAATATCCGTTATGGCCGTTGAGTCAAGCACCTTCTTTGCTGCCTGCAGATCTAAACTTCTGATCATTAACGTACAGTATTTGTTTTGTCACTGTTATACTGTCACTGCTGTTTCCACATGGAAAGAAAGATCAAATTGCTGTAGGTTCTACAATAACATCTTCATAGTTTTGAAACCGATTTGGAAACTTGCCATTGTGAGGATCAATGTTTTAAATCTTATGCTTTGGTAGAGTATTCCATTGACAACTTAACTGCCACTTAGTTGGATTTTCCACTGAGGCTATTTCTGGCTTCTCAGATGCAACTAAAAAGGTCCTGTGTTAACATACAAATTTGAAGCAAGTGTCAGCCATTTGGCCCCTCTACCCTGTGCCACCATTCAATAAGATCATAGCTGTTCCGATTATTGCCCCAAAGTATTCAGTTATCCCATCTGCACTCCTCTCAAAAAGACAGTTCCAAAGACACTCAACCCTAATCCTCATCTTTGTCTTAAATAGAGTGCCCCTTGTTTTTAAACTCTCTGCCCTAGTTCTAATCTCTTGCACAAGGAGAAAGATCCTTTCAGCATCCACCCTGTCAAGTCCTCTTGGGATCTTGCACGCCTCAATGTTTCGATCGTTACAGTGCAGGAGGCGGCCATTCAGGCCAACATGTCTGCACTTGCTGTGAGAGCTTTAACTTAATGCTACCCTTCTGCCTTTCTCCCCCATTGCCCTACACACCGTTTGTATTTAAATACTCATCCATTGCCCTCTTGAATGCCTCAATTGAACCTACTTCCACCGCAGGCCGTGCATTCTGTACCCTAACTATTTGCTGTGTGGAAAAGGTTTTTCTCACCTCACTTTTTTTTGTTTTTTTGCAAAACACTCTAAAACTGTGCCTTCCATATTTAAATCCTTTTATGAGCAGGAATTGTTTCTCTGTATCCACTCAGTTTTTGAAAACTGTTATCAGATCTCCGATTTGCCTTCTCTGCGGAAAGACAGGCTAAACATCTCCGATCTTTCCTTATCTCGCAAGTGTCCAATCCCTGCAACCATTCTGATAAACCTCTTGTACAACCTCAGCAGTGCATTCACATATTTCCTGTAGTGAGGCACCCAGAATGGTACACAATATTCCAACTGAGGTCTAACTAGTGTCTTATTTATAAATCATCATAAACTATCTACTTTTGTAATGTACACCCTTATTTATGAAACCAAGAATGATGTATACTTTTACTGCTTTCATTACCTGACCTACCGTCTTCATTAACTTATGTGCATATACATCCAGGTCTGTCTACTCCTGGACGTCCTTTAGAATTGTACCAAATATACTGTCTCTCCAAGATCTTTGTACCAAAGTGTATCTCCTCTCATTTCTCTGTATTGAACTACTTCTACCACCTATCTGCCCACCCCATCAACATGTTGATGTTCTACACTGTCTTCCCCACTGTATACAATTTTTCCAAGTTTTGTGTCCCTATCCACAAAGAGCTACATCATTAATATATGTCAGAAAAGGCAAAGGTGTCAGTACTAACCACTGGGGGATCTCCACTACAAACCTTCGTCCAGCCTGAAAAATCAGACCGCTTCTTATTCTAAACTCCAGCGGATGGAGGCCCAGCCTGTCCAATATTTACTCCCAAGATTGCCCTCCCAACACAGGTATAATTCAAATGAGTCTGTTCTAAACTGCATGTAAAGCATTTGTATCATTCCTTCAATAAGGACAGCAAAACTACACACAATACTCCAGGTAAGGTTTCACCAGTGCTATGTGCAATTGTCACAGATCATCCTTACCTTTTATTGCCAGGGGAATGGAATATAAGGTAACATTCCATTTACCTTACCAACCACTAGCTGTACTTTATGATTTAGAGACCAGCATATCTGTGATGCTATTGGAAGATGAACAGGGGAGGACCTGATTGAAGCATTTTCAGACATCCTGAGGTCATAATGAGTGCTTTTCAGATGCAAGGACCATTGAGGTTGGCAAATAATGTTTGGTATATTGATTTAGGAACAGCTTCACATTATCTGGCAGTACTGCCTTTATCTATCTGTCACTAAACCACACTGATGTTGAGTGGAAGAATTGGTAATTACCCATTGATACAAACTAAACTGTGGAATTGCTTGCTTGTCATAGACTGTGATCCGATGTTTTGTTTATTCTAGTGATGAGATAGGCTGTTGTTGCTTTCTGGAATTAATGGTGTTCATGGGTTGTCATCTTCAATTGCAACTTAAGGACGCAGTTACAACAACAGCTTCTGTTCATACTGTGCCTTCAATGTAGTGAAGCACCCCAACATGCTTCACAGAAGTGCTTTAGAGCAAAATTTAGAGCAAACTGAACCACATTAGAAGATAATAGGACCAATACTGAAAACTTGGTCAAAGAGGTAAAATTTAAGGAGGAGAGACTGAGACAAGGTGAGGTTTACTGGAGAAATTGAAGAACTAAGGGCTTGGGTAGCTGAAGGCGTGGCCTTCAATAGTGGAGAAATTCAAATCAGAACACTCAAAAGGCCAGAAGTAGAGGAGTGCAGATATTGTACAGGGTTGTGAGGCTGGAGGAGTTTATAGCGATGGGGAGGTTTGAAAGAGCTGTGGGGAAGTTATGGTGATAAGGAAGGGCCTAGGAGTTGGGGGAGGTTTAGGAGAGAGGGAGGGGTTAGATGTGAAAGAAGAGTATGGGCAGGAGGATGTTACAGATACAGGGAGAAATGTATGGGCTGCAGGAGGTTAGAGATGGGTGAGGTCTGGGGCTAGAGAAGGTTACTAAGATAGGGGTATGGGGGCTGGAAGAGTTAGAAATGGGGAAGAGTTTAAGGCAGGAGGAGGTCACTCGGCCAGGGGAGGGGGTGGTGGGGCGGGGGAAGAGTCCAGGGGCTAGAGGAGGATGCAGAAATAGGGAGAAGTCTAGGGCTAGGGGAGAGGTTTAGAGTTTGAAGGAGGTTACAGAGATGGAAAGGGATGAACTAATGGAAAGTTTTGAAAATGTGAATCAGAATTTTTTTAAAAAGCAAATCATTGTTTAACTATGAACCAATGGAAATCAGTAAGAATAGGCATGAATGAGACTTGATATAAGTTAGGACATAGGCAGCAGAATTTTGGATGGTCTGAAGTTGATGGAAGGTGGGATGAATACTGGGGAATATTGGACCATACAGCACTTCGAGTCTGCTCCACCATTCAATCATGGCTGGTATGTTTCTTAACCCATTCTCCTGCCTTCTCCCTGTAATCCTTGATTCCCTTACTAACCAAGAACCTGTCTATCTCTGCCCTAAATACACTCAGTGACTTGGCCTCCACAGCCTTCAGTGGTAATGAATTCCACAGATTCGCCACACTCTGGCTGAAGAAATTCCTCCTCCGCTCAATTCCAAAGGGTCATCTTCTCCCTCTGAGGCTGTGTTCTCACATGCTAGTCTCGCCTACAGTGGAAACATCATCTTCACACGCACTCTGTCTAAGCTTGTCATTATTCTGTAAGTTTCAATGAGGTACCCCCCCACCCACTCCCATCCTTCTAAATTTCATCGAGTACGGACCCAGAGTCCTCAACTGCTCCTTGTATGACAAGCCATTTGTCCTCAGGATCATTCTTGTAAATCTCCTCTGGACCCCCTGCAATGCCAGCACATCCTGCCTTAGATACAGGGCCCAAAACTGCTCACAATATTCCAAATGCAGTCTGACCAGAGCATTGTACAGCCTCAGCAATACATCTCTACTCTAATATTCTCTCCCATTTAGAAAATAGTCTACGCCTCTAGTCATTGACCAGTGCATAACCTCTTAGTTTCCCACATTGTGTTCATCTGCCACTTCTTTGCCCAATCTCCTAGCCATCTATATTCTTCTGCAGCTTCCCCACTTCCTCAATATTACCTGTCCCCCCACCTGTCTTCAGGTCATCTGCAAACTTCGCAACAATGCTTTCAGTTCCTTCATCCAAATCCAAATGTGAGTTGCCTTTTAATTCATGTTTAATTAACATTATGCAGATTTTGGGGAGGCAATGGCCTAGTGGTATTATCGCTGGACTGTTAATCCAGAGACCCAGATAACATTCTGGGGACCTGGGTTCAAATCCCGCCACAGCAGATGGTGGAATTTGAATTCAATAAATATCTGGAATCAAGAGTCTAATGATGACCATGAATCCATTGTTGATTGTCAGGAAAAACCCATCTGGTTCACTAATGTCCTTTAGGGAAGGAACCTACCATCCTTACCTGGTCTGGCCTACATGTGATTCCAAACCCACATGTGGTTGACTCTTAACTGCCCTCTGGGCAATTAGGGATGAATGCTGCCTAGCCAGCAGCATCCTCATTCTGTTAACGAATAAAGAAAAAAAACGATTCAATAGGCTGGGCTACTGCTTTTTGTGCTATGCCATTCTATGATCCAATCTTGCTAAGGTGAACCTAGAAAACATTTAATTGGGGCCAGCTGCTTCCTTTCACTCTAACAACATCATAACAGAATAACTTATCATTGACCTAACTTACTCAATTCAGTCTGTACAACTTATCTTCAAATAGTCATCAAAAATAAAGAACAGACCATGCTTTTCTCATCAGTAGGTTATCATACTTCATGAAGCATAACGGTTTATAACTATCCTCCAACATTTCTAATCTCTTTGTGTTAGTGAAGGCTGTCCCAGCTCACTGCCTTTGAAGGCTAGCTGTTAGCAAAGGCCCTTCTTTGCCCGCTAGTTTGCTAGCTTCTGTTACTATTACCTCCTTGCTGCTCTCAGACAATAAATTGCAAATTTGTCAGGTCTTTATCTGCTTTGTGGTGCATCTTTCCATTTTGCAGTTGCCTATGTTATTACTTATCAATGAAAACATCTTTTGATTTTAATCCAATGGAAAGCAACC